ATTGAAAAGAGGCATTTTCCTCCCTCGCTCGGGGGTGGAAAATTAAGTTTTCCAGTAAGGTAGTAGAAAAAATTATAAAATAATAACTTGTGGGTTTTACTCATTTTTAATTGTGACGGGCGGGACAAAAATTATCAAGTAACGTGGAATGCCCCTACAATAGCTGAGTTGCATCAGGGTCAAAGATGAAGGAAAGAATTTTATGAACTGTCTAAATCCTCCTCTTCTTGCAGGAGAAGCCTATGACACTCTATTTTAAGATATATCCCCCTCCAGAGTTACATTTATTGCTGGACGTTGTTAATCATCTCGTGAAACATATGATGCTAAATTTCTCAGGATGCAGATAAATGGATTAAAGCTTGTAATGTTCAAAGAGATCTTACTTACAAAGGCCTTTCATTCAAAGGCAATTTATGCAACAATCTTCTAAAAAAATTGACATTTTAAGATCATTATGCTGCATGGGCTGTCTTAAATATGTAAACACATTCTCATGTTTTGTAAAAGTTGCCGATTGTTGTTTTGACGAAAGCCTTGAGCAAGAATATACACAACGTATTTCAAAATTTAAAAGAACGTATATGGCACTGAATATTCCAGTAACTCCGAAAGTACTTGCAGTCTTTTTTCATGTCCAGCAATTTTGTGAAAAAAGAAATCCGGTGTAGGACTACTTTATAGTGAGCAAGCTGTGGAATCTCTTTACCATAATTTTGCCAAGATTTGGTATAAATATAAAGTAAGCAGAAATAATGAACTTTACTCAAACAGACTTTTAAAAGCTGTCAGGGAATATAACAGCAATCTTGCAAACTTGTTTAATCTAGTATTAACTTTTAATTTTTTATATGTTGTTTGTGTTTAAAAAGTATTTTTAAATATTAAATATTAGTAATCTTTACTATTGCATTTGTATTTTTGTTACATCTAACAAAGTAAGGGGTCATCCATTAATTACGTGAGGCAATTTTGGCGATTTTTCGACTCCCCCCTCCCCTTGGTGAGATGTCGTAAGATTTTGCTCGACCCCCTCCCCCTCCCTTAATCTCACGTGAGATTTTTAAAAATGCATGGTTTTATTGTAAATAATCTGTGCTTGATTTCATTAGATTTATTAAAAAAAACAATTTGCTTATAATTGTTTACTTAATTTAACCCAGTTTTCTCGCAATTTTACACTGTTTCATTCGAAAAGAAAAAAATACGTCATATTTGCCGAGACCACCCTCCCCCCCACGTGAGATTGGGTGAGGTTTTGCTCGACCTCCTCCCCCCCTAAACACCTCACGTAATTAATGGATGCCCCCAAAGATTATGAAGATATTACACCACCAAGATCCAAGAAGTTAAAGCGAACTCAAAACATTTTTTAATATAAATTATGTTGATTTTTAATATGACACATTGTAATATTATATGCAAGCAAGAATCCATGTTTTTTAAGAGTTTAATGTTATTTTTTTAATAATCTTATAAATTATGTTTGTTTATTATTTATTTATGCTTTAAAAAAAAAGTATTTGTATCCTTGTATGTCTACTTATTTTTGAAACTGGCACCTTTTCACTTTTAAAAAATTGGATACTGGCGGATAATATCAGACGCCTGGGTGGAAAAATTTAAAATTTTACATTGGAAATTGCAATGTCATATATATATGACATTGCAATTTCCAATGCATTGGTAACACTGCTGCACAGCCAGCCGTGCGGCCACTCGAAAACTGAGACATAAAATCTGACGCCTGCAAGCTTTGCTCGTCCCTAATAAAACTCGTAACTTAAATGGCGTTTAGAAGACTTGATACATAATAAACTATTAATCAACTTCATTTCATTTCTTAACTAACCGGCGGATAAACCCAGTAAGCACCAAACAGTCGACCACCGTTCGGTAAACGCGGTTGACCGGTGGTTCGGCTTGTCTCCAGTCGGCTCGCATTATGTTAGCCCGGTACCGTTTGGCCATCTTCTAACCTAAATCGGCCGCAATACGGCCTGCCGCGGCATAAGGGAGCTAACTATAAATAGAGATGGGTGGCAATATTTAGTTGGATGTGTGCGTCTGGAATGGCATAGTTAAACATTAATCTCTTAAAACGGGGATATTCTCAGTAACAAATAATTACTAGCTAGTCTAGTGTTTTAAAGAATTATTTTGCCATTCAGAGAATTTCAGGACTGAACCCATAGTATATACCTATCCATGACGTTTGTAGGCTTTTTTTGGATGGCCAGGCGGTCGTGGCCGGCACTCGGCCGAGTAAACATAGCCGACATTCGGCCAGGCGGACATGCCCGGTCTACTTGCCGAATCTCATACGTGTTTCGGGCTGCACCTATAAGGTCCGTTGTTTATTTTATTTCCATATATCAAATTCTTAAACTTAAATGTTATACAGGGTGGCCGATTTATCTGAAGACATTGAAATATTTCGAAAACTATGCATCGGATCAAAAAAAGTTTTGAATAAAATTTGTTCGCCTAGAAGGGGGCCATCCAATGATACCAAAGTCGACCCCTCACCACCACCCCCTGGGGTGGTGGTGGGGGCAACTTTAAAATTCTAAATAGGAACCCCCATTTTTTTATTGCAGATTCGGATTTCCCATTAAAAAATAAGTAACTTTTATAAAAAAACTTTTTTTTAATTCCTGATAGATGGCGCTGTAATCGCAAGAAACCCGATTTTTGGGAATATCTTAAAAAATTACACATCAAAAAAAGAAAAACTTGTTTAATTTTTGGATTTTATTCGTATATCAATAAGTTAACATCTATTTTTAACGTTACCCAAGAACAAGGACCAGGACGCAGTAGATTAAATGTTCGAAATTGTGACCTTGAACTTATTTATTCTTTTTTCAAATGATTGTACACAGGAGAGGAGCATATCTGCGGGAATTTCAGCACAAGCGTTTCTTATGCGCTGTATCATGTATTCCCGAGTTGTTGGTGCTTGTTGAAAAACCTTAGCTTTTAGATAACCCCACAGAAAAAAATCCGGCGATGTCAAATCAGGTGACCTAGCAGGCCAATTAACCGGGCCACCTCTGCCGATCCATCGGCAATACTTCCCGTGCTGTTGCTGAGTAATGGGCTGGCAACCGTCATGCTGAAACCACATAATTTGTCGAATGGGCATGCCCTGCAGGGCAACATCCCAAAGTAGAGGTGGTAGTTCATGTTCCAGGAAATTTCGATATTTGATTCTATTTAAGGTTTCATCAATGAAATAAGGACCAATGAGTTACCTAAAATTCCACACCAAACGTTAACCGACCAGGGACGTTGATGTTCAACTTGTCATAACCAGTGGGGATTGTCCACACTCCAATAGCGCATGTTATGCCGATTAACGGAACCATGGTTTGTGAATGTGAACTCATCTGAAAATAGTACATTAGCAAAGAAATTGGGATTTCTTTGTATTTGCTGAACTGCCCATTCACAAAATTCTACTCGCCGATGAAAATCATTGCCATGAAGTTCCTGATGCAGTGAAACCCGGTATGGGTGATACTTGTGACGATTCAATATTCTCCGAATACTATCTCTGGAAATCCCGAGATTCCGATGTATTTCCCGAGTGCTTACATGAGGGTTATGTTGAACAGCTGCTATCACATTAATTTCATTAGCTTCTCCTGTGACAGTGTTTCTTCGTTTTCTTTTTTTAAGTTGTACACTACCGTCGGATTTAAAGGATTGACCAACTTTATAAAAAGACGAGCGTGAACGAATATTATCTGGAAAACGTTCAGCATATAAGGCATCGTCAATATTCCGCCTACATTCTCCGAAAATCAGAATCATTTCAATTTTTTCTTCTACGGTTGCAGCATTCATTTCTCACTCGTACGTTTCTAAATTAACTGCGAATGTTGCGTCTGTACATACCTAGACGCATTAGTAAGGTATAAATATTTTTAATTTGTACCAACATCAAAAGGAATTAATTAGTTTAATTTATTTTGAATTCCCTAACAATTCTCGTATACACTAATTATATTTTTTAATGGGAAATCCGAATCTGCAATTTTTCAAGATATTCCCAAAAATAGGGTTTCTTGCGATTACAGCGCCATCTATCAGGAATTAAAAAAAAGGTTTTCCATAAAAGTTACTTATTTTTTAATGGGAAATCCGAATCTGCAATAAAAAATGGGGGTTCCTATTTAGAATTTTAAAGATGCCCCCACCCCAGGGGGTGGTGGTGAGGGGTCGAATTTGGTATCATTGGATGGCAGGCCCGGCTCCAGACATTTTGGTACCCCCTCATAGTTACCTACTTGTTAGTGCCCATTAATTAGGTTTAATTTCTAAAAAAAACTACCTAAATAATATTGCCCCTTGATGCTAAATTGGATATCTGGAAAAAAACATTTATAAATAAAATATTCTAAAATTGGTATGTAATAGTAGAACTGAATTCGTAAAATTTCGAGTTATCCAGTTGTTGCATTAGGAGAAAGATAAAATTAACAAAAAAGTTTAAAAAAATATTATTTAATAACAAATAAATAAAATATCATGGCATTCTAAAAAACACTAATATATTGTAATAAAAATTATTTTATCCAACATTATTAAACTGACTAGTAGTAAAAATAAGAAAAATCTGTTTACAAACAAAAGTTTAAGAAAAGGAATGCCTTCTGGCTTTTTGTTCAGCAAACTTGAAATTAAATTGAAAATATCTAATTTAGATCCTATATCGTGCTGTATACATGTATTGAATAACTTTTTGCCGCCCTTCGATTTTTGCCGCCCCGTGCAGGGGCACGGCTGCACGTACCCTGGAGCCGGGCCTGTTGGATGGCCCCCTTCCAGGCGAACAAATTTTATTCAAAACTTTTTTTTATCCGATGCGTAGTTTTCGAAATATTTCAATGTCTTCAGATAAATCGGCCACCCTGTATAATAACTCGAAAACTTCTTGGAACACCCTGTATATAAGGTATCATACTGAAATTTATCAGTAAGAAAAAATACAGTACCATTAGTGTGATGTATTGGTAAACATTAAGTAAACACATAATGTGGAACAAATTTTATGTACTGGATTTTTATACAATCCTTTGTTACCCTAAATATTTAGTCCAGTCTCAATTTGGTTACTTTTGATTTTACAAATAAAAATGTAAGTTTTAAATCTTCAATACAGATAAACCCAAGCCTTAAAAAAATAACATGGCAAAATAGTTTGTATAATATAATTTTAGAAAAACATTTACCTAAACACCAAACACACATTTACTAATCCTTATTTCATAACCATCAAAAAGTAAATTAATTAAAAACAAAACAAATAAATTAATATTTTGTATATAAACTTCTGAACAACTACTGGGCTTGTTGAGGCTGAGCTATTTGAGGTGGTGCTAAACGGCATGTAAAATTAACAATATTTAACATAATTGATCTTAAAAATGCTGGCATGCTGGGATGGTTTGCTTTTAGTTCCAAGAATATCCTTAATTCTCTAAACATATTTCTTGTATAAGGATTACGTCTTGAACAGTATCTTTGTGTCAAAAAGTGGTAATAGATAAAAGGGGTAAGAAGGCTTGCTTTCCCACTAAAAGTTAAATATTATGTTAAATAAATATTATTAAAAAAAAAGTTTTTATACTTACAATAAAATTAGTAATACTGTGGTAGGCATTAACATAATTTCTGTAAATGCAACAAGTCTTAATATGTTTAGTGATTGAAATTCGACCAGAGATATTAATAAACGAGCTCCCCACCATGAATTCTGTCCCAAACACTAAAAAAAAATGTACATAAAAACATAAAACATTTTAAAAGTTTGACAATTCTTACATCCAATAATGTTAGAGAATAACTTGCTGAATGGAGTATAGAGAATAATATAATTGGTAAAACAACCACTGTGCTATTATTAAGGAAAATGTATTATTATTGAAGGTACCACTACAATACAAAAATTGGTTTTACAATACCTACATATAATCGTTTACTATACCACTAAATTATGATAGTTAATTTGACACATATTTCTTTGAATTGTTGTATATTTGTATATACACTTCGCATCAAAATTAACGCACCACTAAAATTTAGCACAATTTCATAGTTAATTTTCTCGCAAACTGCTTAATCGATTTGGACATTTTTTTTTAAATTGCAGCCTAAATCTTCAGGAATGACTCTGTGAAACAACTTTTCATTTAAATCGAAGTTTTAGGCATATACAGGGTGTTTTAAAATAAACCAGTTTGTTGTCTAATTTTTGTCGCACCCTGTGAGACTTTCCATATGCACCAATAGATGCCTGTTCTAATCAAAACATAGCCCCAACCTTTCTGAACATTTTGTTTTTTTATTCGAGTTTTTAGCTCAGTTATTTAATGAAATACCGAATTTAATGTCAAATGCATTTATTTGAGATTATTCAAGAAAAAGTTTAATTTTCTCACAAACTGCTGAATCGATTTTGACATTTTTTTTTAAATTGCAGCTTAAATCTTCAGGATTGACTCTGTAAAACAACTTTTCATTTAAATAGAAGTTTTAGGCATACACAGGGTGTTTTAAAAGAAACCAGTTTGTTGTCTAATTTTTGTCGCATCCTGTGAGACTTTCCATATGCACCAATAGATGCCTGTTCTAATCAAAACATATCCCCATCCTTTCTGAACATTTTGTTTTTTTATTTGAGTTTTTAGCTCAGTTATTTAATAAAATACCGAATTTAATGTCAAATGCATTTATTTGAGATTATTCAAGAAAAAGTTTAATTTTCTCACAAACTGCTGAATCGATTTTGACATTTTTTTTTTAAATTGCAGCTTAAATCTTCAGGATTGACTCTGTAAAACAACTTTTCATTTAAATCGAAGTTTTAGGCATACACAGGGTGTTTTAAAAGAAACCAGTTTGTTGTCTAATTTTTGTCGCATCCTGTGAGACTTTCCATATGCACCAATAGATGCCTGTTCTAATCAAAACATAGCCCCATCCTTTCTGAACATTTTGTTTTTTTATTTGATTTTTTAGCTCAGTTATTTAATGAAATACTGAATTTAATGTCAAATGCATTTATTTGAGATTATTCAAGAAAAAGTTTCGAAAGTTAACAAACCGAAAACAAAATTATTTAAAAAATAAAAAAAACATTTAATATCGGGTGTTTCGTCCCCTACTCTCTATTACCGCTTGACATCGACGACCCATACTTTGAACCAGACGTCTTATTTTTTGTTGATCGATATTAACCCATATTTCTCGAACAAAGTTTTCTACATCATCCAAAGACGCAGGTAGGGGTTGATGATCTCTTAGCTGCCTTCCCATTTGATCCCATAAATGTTCTATAGGATTGAGATCTGGACTGCGTGGAGGCCAGTCCAGTGTCTCAATGTCCACCTCATTTAAATAATCTCGCACTATTCTCGCAGTGTGTGGTCTGGCGTTGTCTTGCATTAGTAAAAAGTTATCCCCAATATACCCAGCGAAAGGGACCACATGCTCTGACAAAATTTCCGTGATGTACCTTGCACTATTTAAAGATCCTCCACGCAAAGATACGATGTCTGTACGAGCAGTTAAAGAGATTCCGCCCCAAAACATCACAGAACCTCCATTGAATAACTCGGTTTGGCGAATATTACACTGCGAGTAACGTTCATTTGGTCGTCGAATAACCCTTATTCGTCGGTCATTGCTGTAGAGACAAAACCTTGTCTCATCTGTGAACAAAACTCGCTCCCAATCTTCAGCAGCCCAGTTTACATGTTCCCTGGCAAATTGAAGTCTTGCTCGGATATGGTCTGCATTTAACCTTGGTCCTCGTGCTGGAATTCTGAACCTTAAATTCCTTTCTGCGAGACGTCTCCTTACAGTTGACACACTTACATAGATATTGTGAGCAGTATTTAATTGTACCCGTAGTTGTCTTGAGGTCACAAAACGTTGCCTCAAAGCATTCAGTTGCAAAAATCTGTCATGGATAGCCGTTGTTCCCCGAGTCCTTCCTTGTCCACGGCGCCTGTTGTGGTCATTGGTTTCTTGAAAACGGCGAAATATGCGCAATATTGTCGAATGAGTAACACCCAGTCTTCTACCTACAGCTCGGTAGCCCATTCCTTCCTGGATCAATGTAGTCGCCATCACACATTCATCTCGAGTTAAATTTCTTGTTTGACGCTCCATTTTTGCAATGATAACACAAATGCAGAGAAATTTCAGAATAATAACACTGACAGATAAAGACAGTAGCCTCTATTTCCATGACAATATAGCGCCTTTGTTTTCCATGACCTAATTAGATTTACCTGACGGTTATAACTTTTCTTGCAATCTTGCAAAGTCTTTCATTTGACATTAAATTTAGTATTTCATTAAATAACCTCTATTTCCATGACAATGTAGCGCCTTTGTTTTCCATGACCTACTTAGATTTACCTGAAGGTTATAACTTTTCTTGCAATCTGACAAAGTCTTTCATTTGACATTAAATTCAGTATTTCATTAAATAACAGAGCTAAAACCATGAATAAAAAAACAAAATGTTCAGAAAGGATGGGTCTATGTTTTGATTAGAACAGGCAGATGCCAATAGATATTGGTGCATATGGAAAGTCTCACAGGATGCGACAAAAATTAGACAACAAACTGGTTTCTTTTAAAACACCCTGTGTATGCCTAAAACTTTTATTTAAATGAAAAGTTGTTTTACAGAGTCATTCCTGAAGATTTAAGCTGCAATTAAAAAAAAAATGTCAAAATCGATTCAGCAGTTTGTGAGAAAATTAAACTTTTTCTTGAATAATCTCAAATAAATGCATTTGACATTAAATTCAGTATTTCATTAAATAACTGAGCTAAAAACGCGAATAAAAAAACAAAATGTTCAGAAAAGATGGGGCTATGTTTTGATTAGAACAGGCATCTATTGGTGCATATGGAAAGTCTCACAGGATGCGACAAAAATTAGACAATAAACTGGTTTCTTTTAAAACACCCTGTGTATGCCTAAAACTTCGATTTAAATGAAAATTTGTTTTACAGAGCCATTCCTGAAGATTTAAGCTGCAATTTAAAAAAAAAATGTCAAAATCTATTAAGCAGTTTGTGAGAAAATTAACTTTGAATTTGTGCCAAATTTTAGTGGTGCGTTAATTTTGATGCGAAGTGTATTAGACTGGGCCAAAAAAATCAACAATTTTTTTTTGAAAAGTATATCAAAAATATGGTTTGGGGTGACAAAAAAAATTATTGTGAAAGTCCATAATATTAATATTAAGAGGTCTATCATCGCAATTTTAATTTTTTTTTCCTCAGCAAGTTTTTGTCTCAGAACTCCCAAACCATTGAGTTTAACAAAATTGACCCGAAAATATTTTTTGAAGAAAATTGAATTCTCTACAAAAAAGGTTAAAACGAAATTTTCTGTCAGATGAACCGTTTCCTTAAAATCATGCCTTAAAAATTGGTATAGTTTTACGTTTTGATCTTTTAAATTGGAATGTTGTAATTAATGAAAAAATCGGTACCCATAAAAAAACCAATGGGAAATTAAATGCTTTACAAAAAAAAAGCCTCTCAACATTTATGGCTAAATTCACTCACTCAAAAGTTATTCAGGGTCGTTTTGACTTGAATAACTTTTGATTGAGTGAATTTAGCCAAAAATGTTAAGAGGCTTTTTTTGTAAAGCATTTGATTTCCCATAAGAATATTCATCGCTTTTTTTCTGGGTACTGATTTTTACATGAAATACAAAATTCCAAAGTTAAAAGATCAAAATGTAAAACTATAACAATTTTTAAGGCATGATTTTAAGGAAACGGTTCATCTGACAGAAAATTTCGTTTTAAACTTTTTTGTAGAGAATTTTCTTCAAAAAATATTTTCGGGTCAATTTTGTTAAACTCAATGGTTTGGGAGTTCTGAGACAAAAACTTGCCGAGGAAAAAAAAATTAAAATTGCGATGATAGACCTCTTAATATTAATATTATGGACTCAAACTTTCACAATATTTTTTTTTTGTCACCCCAAACCATATTTTCGATATACTTTCAAAAAAAAAAATAGTTGATTTTTTTGGCCCAGTCTAATATATATATATATATATATATATATATGGGCGTTTCTCTGTAAACTGGGCAACTTGAAGTAAGAAATTGTCTAGGCAAGTTTTTTTGTTACATTTTTGTTGTATTTAATAAATGTTATTCGAGGAATAAATATCGGTCTATTTATTAGTATACGGCAGATGAACCAAAAATATTCCTATTACTTTGGAAAACATTGAGCATTTTCTGAAAAATCTATACAAGGGACTGTTTATAAAATCCGGAGACAAAGTTTAGATGACTTTTTTAGAATTACAAAATAATAATTATAAAAAATAAATAAGTCACAGTAACAAGCAAACAATATTGGTTGAATAATTAAACAATTAGGTTGATTCCAATAGTTACTGTCTTTAATTAATTTAGTCTGAAGTGACCATTTTGCTTTGGTGACACGTCAGGGGACTGGTTTTTAAGGACTATAAAAACGATTTTGATACATTAAAGTTTATTTTATTGAATTTTGAACGTCGAGCATAGGTAGATTAGGTTATTATCTTTTGAAGTTATCCACGAAATATTTATGATCTGTTATTTTTCTAAACAATATTAGCTTGAGACAATGAGTTGCCCAGTTTACAGAGAAACGCCCATATATATATATATATATATATATATATATATATATAAATATATTATTATTATTATTATTATTATTATTAACAGTCTCGTCCCAGCCCTCGAGGGAGTAAGTCGATGTAGCGGAGTCAGAGAGTAAACGTAAAACGTTAAAACCATAACCAACAAATAAGCCCTCATAGTGCAAACAACTATAGTGTAACAATTACAG